GAGAGAGAGAGAGAGCTGCCAGCTTTAAAAATTTGACTTTGCAAAAAGTACTATTCTGCCACTGCACTTCCGTATATCATAATTTCTTCGTTTTAACTCTGAATTGAACCTACTGCCTGTCTACGTACTCGTATCGTAGAGCTCTACACAATGGTGCTGCTCAATTCCCCAAATTCCTCTCCAAACAAATAGTGACTAAAGTACCCCTACACACAAGAGCAAAAATGTAATTTCACAATAAATAATCAATTAAACGGTAATTTTTGGAACATGGTGTTATAATAAGCCATCTTTGTAGGTGTTTGTGGTCTAAAAGCTTACCAACCCTTTATCTGCTACATATTTAAACTTTTGTTACAAAAGAAATATAAATCACCAATAATATAGTTGAAGTGGGAGAAAGAATGAGATTTTGGAGACAGATGCTTAGAAAAACTTTAAAAAACGGAAGGAGATAAGAATAAATGGTCCCAAAAGTCAAATTTAACATTTAGTCCTTGCCTTTTAAGTTTGATTTATTTTTAGTTGCGTGGGGTATTATCTTTTATTTATTTATTTAAGTACGACGTGTTAACTTTTTAGTCTATTGGATGAAATATAAATGAAGTTGTTGGCGCTAAATCTGAACAGATAGAGATGAGTGCAACTTACAAGTGATGAGGACGATCTAGCAGATCGATTGAGTGATAGATGCAGATCCTTCTTGTCCTTGGATGCAGATCCTGAATAGAAGAGAGTTTGAGGTTCATGAGGTCTATGGAACCGGTGTGGAACCAGCCTAAGACCCTCCGATGCTTAAGTAAGATTGTTTATAAGAGCTCTTGTTGTTAACCATATAAAAGTATAGAAGTCAAGCTGAAAAGTCTTACCCCTGTATTGTAGTGGAGGGGCTTATTTATAGAGGGCATTTTGTATGCTCTTAGTACTCATTTTCGATGTGGGACTCGTGGGAGGGCCCTCTGAGGTCGACACATGAGTCCTTAGATATTTTGGGCGGATACTTCGAGGTTGATTCTGTACAATCGGTAAGGGATGCCGATTGTAGACGAGCTGGGCCTGTAATGGCTGTTCGCAGTTTTGAGACAGTGCCATCGGTGGCCAATGCCGATTGTCCAAGGCCTTGGGTACTTGGGCGAGTTTCTAAGATCCACGTGTCGTTGTACGAGTGGAGGGTCAGATACGGTACAAACAGAAGTGCTATATGAAGAAGAAAAGTTAAATTAGAGGATCAGATACCAAATAATATTGTTATACTAATGGCAAGTTTGGCATTGCTGTGTTGTGAAAATAATCGCTGTCAGATTTGCTGTGAGAAAAATCAGCTGTGAGAGAAAGCAGTTTGGCGCTTGGTAAACTTTTTGTTAAAAGTGTTATTGGTACTAATTCCCATAATCATTAAACCCAACGCCTCTTCAAAACTGATTCTTGCATAATCAGAAAATGAAAGCACCTCATTAGCTGCTTTCCCTTATAGCTTTCTCTCATAGTAATTTGTAACAATAAGTGATTTTCTTGTAGTTTACCAAACAGGCTAGGCTTCTCAAAAATTTTAAAAAATCACTTATCACTCCAAATAAGTAATGCCAAACGGGCACTAATTACCACTTACTTTTGTTGACGCCAAAAAATGGTTCAACACTTTTTAGCCCAACTTAGAGATGAGGTGTGATAGATGATGAGCGAAGGTTAGGACCTTCATCAAGTGTGTGAGGATTTGACAAGCGATAAATATACAGAAGACAAGATATACGTGGTTCACCCTTAATGAATGGCTACGTCCACGGAGAAGTGTATTCTCATTATTATAACAATGTGTATTTACATTTGTACAAGGGGCTGGGCCCAAATATAAAGAGAAGAGAGACTAAAGATCAAGCCCACCCAAGGGGGGATCCCTTACTAGGTGGAGAGTGGTCTCCTTTTATAGGTGAGAGGGAGGCTTCACTTCTTGCAATATTTCAATGTGGGACTCTTGGCCTTGCTTAGAATTGCTTCTAGTTGCTTGGTCGAATATGGTATAAACAACTTTATGTATTCTTTAGTGTGAGAAAGCGCTAGGCGGTAGTACCAAACCGAAGACTTTGTTGTGAGGGTACCAAATAAAGCAACGGCGGCAAGGCTGTTCTCGAAACTTTCCATGGTGCTTCGTTGCTGATGTAATATTAATCCTTACAAAGTTAATTTGGGCTTAACGCCCCACCACCCAAGCCAAACTTAAAAGGAAATATATATATCTGTTTTCAAGTTCAAATCTTACCCTGAAACTCCTTTAATTTCCCAGACATCATTTATAAACAATCAGTTAGAGTTTAGGGCCTGTTTGATGCGCTCAAAATTATTGGAGCAATTGACTCGTGTCACATGTTGAGAAGGAGCTAGCCAAACAAAATTTTCATCATACCAAATGTGTAGCTGACAGGCCTACGGTTGCGACAGGAACGAGTAGTTCCAGCACCACAAGAATTTCTCAAATTATTCAGATGCCTCTCTTGCCTTTCTTTCTGCTTTAGCGCCCTTTCTTTCTTCTGTAGAATACAACAGTCTTAGTATAAACAACACAATCCTAAGCTGTTGCATAAGGTTCTGAAGTTTCTCAAGAACAGGAATCTTAAAATTAACAGCCACAAGAGGATTGCAAAAGTTTACCTTCTGAAGTTTCTCAAGAACAGGAATAGCATTGTTTTCAATAGTCTTAGCAACAGAAACATCTGCTACAACTTTGCTTGATGAGAGTTCATCCTACCATGACAGGGAAGGGATAATTTCTTTTATGAGAAACAAATTTTATTAATAATACTCATAAATCGTAGTTCCCTCGTACCTGAAATGAATGCAGTAACTGGTATTACAACTGATTGTGCTATCAAAGGCATAAAATTAATAACATATCAAAATATTACCAATAGGAAGTTCCATTTCCATCTCCTCCTATCTTATTTTTGCGAAAGAAAGAAACTTCAGTTCCTTGTTTCAGAGCATCGTTAATATAAGCTAAGGCATCATCTTGCTGGGAACCAAAAAAAAGAGTTATTTATATCACACCATCTTTCAACAACAACAACAAAATCTACTTATATCAAACTCCAATATATACTTCCAACATATAATCACATGTTCAGGTATAATGCAATTGTAACATAAAGTTAGGTGATCCAATGGTTAAAAAGCATGTAAACCACCTAGACATATAGAAACAAATACAGGAAAAAGAAGTAGGACTTAGTACATCAGCTCTGAGTTCACAAAGTGCTTTTAAGAGTAGTAAGCGTTTTGTTGGATTGAGTTCCTTGTAACGAGATATCTCTTTTCTGCAAAAACAGCACAAATGGCAAAAATTATAGTTGATTAAAAAAAAACTAAATCAGATTAAATACGGTCAAACTAACACATTGTCAATACCCTTTAGCTGCCACTTGCGGAATCTCCCCTTCAGCAACCTGCAGTAAAGAGAAAATATACTGCTGCCGGCTATAAATATATGTATCACATTCTACAAATCCATTGACGGCACAATTCTGCCTAATCACCCAAAAACAAAAAAACAAAGCAAAAGAAAACATTAGACACCATTTCTCACCCTTGTCTTCATCTAACAATATTCCATATATAAGCAATAATCACATTTCTCGTCAAATGAAAACACCAAACCCCAAATCAGATGCTCATTCAATGCCAATGAGTAATAGCAAAATGTAAAACACATTAATGCACCAACAACTATAAGCCTTTGCTCACACATTCTTATCGCTCCAGAAGCAATTGTGTTTCATATAAGACTTATGAAAGGCTCGTTTGGGATTATTTTGTTAAAAAGCACTTTCACTAATAAACATTTCTTTAAAAGTAATATTAAAAGAGTATCAAAATTTTAATTACAAATCAAACCGTTCTTTTAGAAAAGTACTTGAAAGTGATTCTTGAATAAGCTCTTTCTAGGTACTAATCTAAAATTTTATTACCCATAAACACATTATAATTTTTTTTCCAAACACTATCAAAATCACTTTTACTGCTAGTTTGCTTTTTAAAATAATTTTTTATGTATGTTTTGAAAATAATCAATTGTAAAGTAAAGCAGTTTTATGTTTGATAAATAATATTTTTAAAGTGTTGTGAGTATAAAAAAAGTGTTAAATTGTTTGGTAAATTTTAATATAAAACTGTTGTGTATGTGAATAATGTTGTATTAAAATATACATAATGTTAAAAGTGTTATGTGCTAAGCATGTGATAGAAGTGGAGATTAAAGTGAAAATGATGGTGATGATGGAGGTAATATGGTGGTGTTTCCATCATGTTGAAGAAGACTTTTACGGGTTCTTCTACTCCTTTATAATGTTCTTGCATCTACGCAATTCTCTTGATCATATGGTATGGTGCTTCTTCACTAATCTTCTGTGGTTGTTGGATGAAATTTCGAATTTTTTATATTTTCACCAATGCTTTAGATAGATTCGTTTTTAATGTCTCATCTAAAAGAGAATATCATTTCTTATAAAGAATAAAATTATAATGTATAGAGACTACAATTATCTTTAAAAAAAAAATTAAAATGAAACAAGCCCAACCCCCACTTTGAAAAAGGAAATTAAAAAATAGAGAGATTTACTATTATACCCAATATAGGAGCCTAAATTATTTTTAAAAAACCCTATATAAAATGGACTTTAGAAATACACCCAAAACTCATTTACAACATAACAAAAAGGCTTTTAACTTTTTTTAAATTACAAAACTACCATTGATTTCTTAAAACAAACTCAACCCCAAAACCTCATAAAAAAACTCAAAACACTCAATAGGGCATCAAAGTAATTTAATAGTCAAAATTAAATTCAATAAAGTCAGCTATCATTTTTGGGTTTTTTTGGGCTTGTTTATAGAAATTAAATGGCGTAGGGTTTATTTATAGTTTTAGTGCTAAGAATGGGTATATGACTAAATGTCTCTAAAAAACAAAAAACAAAAAACAATACCTCCCATTTTCTTTTTCACAGTTTCACTCTCTGCAACATCCACCCCAAACACCCACTCACAGTATTTCCCAAAGCTCACTGTCACTTACCAAAAGATATACCCTCCCTTGAACATTTGATGAACCCAGCCAACTCCCAGCTGAAACATCCTCCAGGAGTTTATGGACTGCTTGCTTGCATGCTTTCTCACCACAACTACCTTGTATGTAAACAACACACACCACCTGAGTTTTTGCTCCCCACTTGATACCCAAGTGAACCCAAGAGAAACCCTCCTTGATTTTGCTGTAGTTCGTGGGACTGCTTGCTTGCATCTCACAAGCAGCCCACTCCCTCCCACTTACATTGCCGTAAGCCTCAACTCTCAGTTTGGTTTGACCCACAAGCACATATCGCTTGCATGCTCCACACACTAAATGAATCAGCTGCTGTATATTAATGTGAAAAGCAAGACTTTTCTCATACTCTACACCAATGTTGGCAGACCCAAGTGAAGACCTAAATGTCTTCAATTTCAAGACTATCCTAAAGAGAATTTATTTTTTATTTTTGGGGTAAGACACGAGTTACAGGTCTAAACCACGAGCACGGCCCCACCAGTAATATCAGACAGAGTTCAATGCCTGGAGGGCTTCTAGTCTAGAGGTACACCATCTACCCAAACCTGTCAAAACAGGTTGTATTTTTTAAACACAAACTTCAAAGCAGTAGTACTATTAGATTATTTCCCTTCATTTTTTCTGACCAACACATTATAAATCAACAATTACTATAAACGACAAAATTGTGGTCACAGCACGGGGGCTCATTCGTGGAGACAAATGTTCCTATATATTACAGAGTGCACGGTGCAAACAATACAATGCTTTCGCCAAGTTTTCTGTTGTTCCTTTGTTCATTCTGTAACTCAGCATGCAGCAACAAACTCAAACGTTTCGAATTCGAATCAAACGATACATGGACTTACTCAGAGCACACCAGATTTGCCCGGTAACCATTGTTTTCAAGGTAAGAAGATGCATGCTTGAAGAATAAAAGATGTGAATTGGTCATCTGGGCTACATTTGATTTCAATTTGGAGAAACTGTGTCATGTATTCTAATTCTACCTTAAGATTTTTGTTGTGTTCAGCTCCAGAATTTGATATAGGACTGTCGTTCTTACCGTTGTGGGTCTTGTGGCAAATTGGCAATTGCTGCTGTTGCTTTGATATCCATATGCATTTATTTGGGAGTGATGCGGATGACAAAGGAAACATTAGTTGAAGAAGGTAAGTTGAGAATGTCATTGTAAATAGTACCGGCCTTGAGCACAGAAAATGCGACCGCTTTGTACCCTAAAATATTTTGTTTACAAGAAATTGCTTGTAGCGGGATTGGTATGCAAAATAAAGCCTCAAATAAGTATATATGATATATTTCTTTATTTCGGTGTGAGAGTTAAATATAACATTGTACATTCATTACATTACAGCAATTGTTACCGTAGTGGGATTGATTTGCAATTCATAGTTTGTAGGATGTTCGGAGTTCAAATCCCGATGGGATCAATCTTTTCTGAAAATATTCATCAATTTTTTTTGACTGGGTCATCTGGGGATCTAGAAAGATTTTTATTTTTATTTTTATTTTTTATCCACGGCTAAAAGTACTAAGAGCCCGTGGCAGCTGCCTCCTGTGTGATTAATGGCGGATTTGTTTGCTCGAATGACTGCTCTCGTAAACAATACGGGAGTGGTTGTTGAGATACGAGAGGTCGAGAAGGGAGATGATGTTGGGAAAGGCAAACTAGTTGCTAGGCTGCAAAATGGGAATCGCAAAGTGATCAGAGGGATGAAATTTTTGGATCGAATGGCTTATTTGGGCCCCAGAAGCATTCATGTCACTGCGATACTTGCTGCTGGTACCACCACGAAGATCTTTCCAGCGCAGTATTTCGCTGACTACGGACGGGTCGTCTTTCGGCTAGACAACCAAAAACTGAAGTCTGATCCAGAAGAGATGTCCGATATCCGCCGCATGAGGTATCATCTCTCTCTGGCTCTAGCTGATGTATTTGCAATATCAATAATGTCATGAGCGTGGTGAATTGCAGGCCGGTTAGGTTCTTAACATGTGTTTGAGCAAATCATCAAAACGGCAGGCGCGGATCATGAGCAATATTCATCGGTATCATTTCTTGCTCTTTCTCTCGGTAGTATTTGATGCTAAGGGCTGTGAATTATGGTTTTGCTCGCATGCCCACCAAGTGTTCGACCAAATGCCTAAATAAAGTTGGTCTGTGTATTCACTTACAAAATACCCACCAAGTGTTCGATGAAATGTCTAACTAAAATTGAGCAGTAACAGTTAAAACTATTTGTTAGATAGAGGTCGGCCTGACGATCCAGTTTCATACCCACTAATTGTTCTTAATTGACTCATACTAAGATTGCCAACAACAAAATAGTCTAACCATAATTGTCTACATCGAAAGTGCCAACAAAATCACTTTTTTGTTTGCATTGTGTCTCTAAAACCTTGTGTGGCCTAGTGACATTAACATTGCTGCTGGTGCTCTTCAACTGATGAAGCTTTACATGATGCATAACTTCTTTTCAAGATACAGATTCTTTGTTTCCATCTGCCAATTGATGATCAATAAATAAATTGACTATGTTCACCACTATTGTCTGCATTGCCTTGCATTTGAGCAGGTCCGCTATAGAGCTGATCATTTGGTCAAATTTTATGTTCACCTTGTGTAACATGATTTGGGGTTCCAATTGGACTCACTGTCCATCTCGTGCTGACATGCATTTACAAAATACTGCTGCTATCAATGTATTTATGTTTCTTCAATATCAAAAGTGTTTTTGTTCGTTTAACTTGGCGATTTTTGTTGGACATGATTTTCTTACATGGTTTCTCTTCTGCTCTGGAATTGCAGGGAGTGGTGACATTGACTATGCTGTTTTTCGGGGTGTAATGATTTGGGAAAGCTCTTCGAACGAAGATCATCTGGTTGAATTTAGCTGGTTTGTCATCAGGACTTTATATGATTTCTGAGGAGATCTTACGTTGGGTTATGTAATTTTATTTACTCTAATAAGACTATTGGTGAAGTAATTGTCATCTGTGATGACAAAAACCATGACTATTGGTGAAGTAATTGTCATCCAAAGCAAGTTAATAATGTCAAACCTTTTTATGCTACTTGTTTCTGGTTACTCAAAATTTTCATGCATTGAAATCATGACATTTCGTTTTCGTGTCATATATTAGTCCACCATTAATTAAATACTTGGAGGACTCAGTATTAACCAAATCGGTTTATTATTCGTATCATGTTTGGCTTGATTGATTGATATACACTGGAGAAATTATAGAAGAAAAAAGGCAGCCGCAACCGTTCCTCGCCTGCGAAGCCTTCCATCCCCACAGCCTGCCATGGCTGTCACCCATCTTTCTTTTTTCATCATCTTTCATATCTCTTCACCTTACAATTTATCAACACACAACCTTGAACATTTAAAGGAGGCTTGAGAATCATCATCTAGTTGGCCTAATAATTGCCATGGTTGACCTGGTATCTTTCTCTCTCAATGCAGGGTTCAATTAAATAAGATTGAGGATCTGAAAGAGTTGGTTTATGGTCTTGAGGAGAGCATATTTGTTAATCCGTAATTGGATTGGACTCCGATTATGGGCCCATCACTTTATGGTGTATTGGTGTTGCAGACAAAATTATGATGAATGAATATGAGAATTTGAATATTGAGAAACATTGTGTGAAGTTGCTAGACGACCTAAATGACAGTTAAATATAAAAATATAGGTGTATATAGGTAAATAATGTACCTATCTTGTATAAATACTAATACCAATGGATAATGCTCGAAACTACTCTTATCGATAAACAAAAATCGGGGAAAAACAATTCAAAAATATTCAAAAAAAGATCACAGTATCTATGTAAAGCGTATAGCCGCTTGGCTATACTATATATATATATATATATAATTAAAAAGAACGACCCAGTAACGCTGCGTGGCTATGCTATTGTTTAAAAACAACAAAAGCCGACTATAATTTTTTTTTAAATTCCACGTATAGCCGATCGGCTATACTATGTATAAAATAGAGAAATGTATAAATATTGCTAGTTAAGTTGGGCTATTTGGTTTATACGTACTGGGTTGGGCCTAAGCTTTTGTCATATCCGTTCTTCCAGGGTATACACCCTTCTCCCTTTTGGTCCAATAGTACCAAGTAGACCCTAAAATAAGGGGCCTATATTATCTACCCTTCCAATTTCCAGAGAGACTAATCTCGGTATAGAAGTGGAGATTGTGGCAAACATGGTCTTATTAGCTCAGTGGTAGAGTTGTTGTCGTGCATGCCAGCGGCATGCGAGTTCAATTTTCTATGTCCTCGTGTGTGCGTACGTGAGAATGACCCCTCTCTATTTCTAAATGTGCCAATCAAAAATAAAATAAAATAAAGTAACGAATAATGTGAAAGCATGTTAAGATCTCACGGATCTCATAGTTTATAAAACCCCGAGAATAATGTGAAAATATATATAGCTTCAGGGGGTTTATTTATATGTAAATATGATAAATCTCAAGAGCTGTAGTCCATATCATTTATGTGAAAACGTAATATTATATCTCAATGGTATTAGTTGTGGGTTTAGTCTTTTGACTCTAACCTTTCTCTAACCAAGAGTAGCGCAATGACTATTTTGGATTTAAAGTCATTATAAAAAGACCATGACCGAGGAAAGCAAGCAAATTGCAATAAACAACTAACAAAAAAAATATAATAAAGCAAGAACGTCGTTGTAAACAGAAGATAATTCGACCGCATCCAAAGTGGCGGGAAATTAGTCAATGTCACCAGAAGATGTCAAGGTTCCAACGTTGCGCGCATCATCCATTTTTTAAGTGCTAGCTTGCAGTGATGACTTTCTGAAGCCAATACATGGAAAGTCCAGGGATAAACAACAAGAAGCTGAAAACAAGTGCTAGCTTGCATTGATAAACAATTAGTAAACAAAAATTCTTGCGTAAAGAAAAGGAACATAAATCATTCTAAATTTCGACCAAAAAATAGGTCTTTCTTAATTAAAAACTATTCTATTAAAAATATAGTTGATTAAAAACTTCCAAAGTACCAAAAAATATATATACTTAATATTTCCTTCACACGTTACACATAAGAACAAGTTTTCATTTGTATAAATCACCTATGGCTGCTTGACATTCGTGGCTTGACCTTCTGGAAGAAGGCCTACGGGCTTAGCAGAGGACGAAATTACACAAATTTAAACTAACCTAGTGTTACAGATGTTGATGCTCTTTTTGGGAGGATCAACTTAGAAAGAAAGAGTGGGGTCTTAAGCAGGGAAGAAGGTGTAGACCTTCGGTAATTGAGTAACCTGCAGAAGACAATGGGAAGAATCAGTCGTTAAGCTTCGGACACTGGTGTGGTGCTTGTCAAAGGCTCTCTGATGCTTAAGTCAGCTATTTGTGGTAATTTTGGCAGAGTAACAGTAAATGTGAGAAAATTATTACCCCTTTTGTCTTGGGCACTGTTCCCTATTTATAGGAAGGTGAAAATAGAAGGCTTGCACAAAATTTCGATGTGGGACTTTGTGCAAGTTGCTATGGTGGTGACACGTGTCCATGGAGACTAGATTCGGCAGGTGTTGGTCGCCTTGGAAGAGTGTTTTCCTTCGGCAGGGAAAAAAGCGTGTCTGCCTTGGTTCTAGTCGCTTTGGTTAGCGCTTGAGAAATATACCTAAAACACATTACCAAGACAGATTATTGTTTGCTCTAATGTGGGGAGCATGGTTTATAAAGCGACAATATTAATTACTAAGATCAGACAAAATTCTATTTTACATTTTGGGAAACAGTGGTTTCGTTTAGATATATGAACACTATTTGACTCCTTACAAGTAAGGGCCATTATGCATTATAATCCATCACACTTTAATACGTAGACAAAACTAAGGGCCAGTTTGGCATTGTTGTGCTGTGAAAATAATCGTTGTCAAATTTGCTGTGAGAGAAAGTAGTTTGGCGTTTGGTAAACTTTTTGTTACAAATGTTGTTAGTACTGATTCCCCCATAATCAGAAAATGATTTCTGTATAATTATTAAACCCAACGCCTCTTCGAAACTAATTCCAACATAATCAGAAAATGAAAGCATCTCATTAGCTACTTTCCCTTATAGCTTTCTCTCATAACCATTTTTAATAATAAGTGATTTTCTCATAATTTACTAAGTGCCCGTTTGGCATTGCTTATTTGGGATGATAAGTGATTTTAAAAAAAATTTGGGAAGTCCAGCCCGTTTGGTAAACTATGAAAAAATCACTTATCGTTAAAAATTGATGTGAGAGAAAGCTATAAGGGAAAGCAGCTAATGAGGTGCTTTCATTTTCTGATTATGCATTAATCAGTTTCGAAGATGCCCTGGATTTGATGATTATATAGGAATTATTTTCTGATTATGCGAAAATTAGTACCAACAACACTTTTAATAAAAAGTTTACCAAACGCCAAACTGCTTTCTCTCACAGCTGATTTCTCTCACAGCAAATCTGACAGCGATTATTTTCACAGCACAGCAATGCCAGGCTTCCAAAAAAAAAAAAAAAAATCACTTATCACCCCAAATAAACAATGCCAAACAGGCACTAACTCATTTAAAAAAAATTAAAAAAAATTTATGCACACATGCATGACTGTGATTTAAAAATAAATAAAAGTAAAATGACAAAGAAATTTACTTAACTGTTGAAAATGAAAATAAGGTAATTTGTACACCGCCACTGACTGGGATAATATTGAAAATAAGTTAAATATATAGGTTTTATATTTTTGTCTTAAAAAACCACAATGGGCTACAGCCCACTGTAGCCCTTAGTGTGGTTCTGCCCCTGTTTATATGTAAGAAGCCAAAGTTTTTTTTCTTTGCGTTAAATGTCGCTTACTCTTTATATATACATAAACAAAACGACATATAGTAAGTATTTCAATTTTTCTGAATAGATAAGAAAACTTCATCAACTTTTGGAATGCGAGAAGCTTAAATGATCTTTTCCGTTTTATCTAACAAATTATGTTTTTTTGCATGATTTTTAGAAGGCATGACCCTTAAAAGAGCAAGATAAAAAGGTATAAAAGATTCCAATTGTTGAAATGCATTGTTGAATAACCTTAAAAAAAAAAATGTGTACATTTAAAATATATATTTCAGACATCTTGAACATAGAAAAACTGCTATATATACTAAGAGTTGTGTGTATCAGAAGATCACTCTCGCTTAGTATTGGCACTAGCGCTCTCTCTCTCTCTCTCTCTCTCTCTCTCTCTCTCTGGCTGTTAATATACACAAACAATTTTGCGGGCTCTCTCGGCTGTGATTGATTACACACAAACACTTTTGCTGGCTATACGCTAAATATATAGTGTGTGTACTCATGGCTACCACTCCTGAACGTCAACAACAAATGGAAGCCCTAGAGAATAAAATAAAAGAGAAAAAGCCTTTACTTAAGGAACATGATGTTCGTCTCAGTTATCTTCAATCAAATGGCTTCCAACTTGGAAACTTCTACTTGGTCTTTCAAGGAGTTATTCTGACGGCAATTGCAAGTGGTGACTCAGTCTTCAGATGTTTAGACCGTAGCCTGCTCATCAGCGTTTCTGCATTAGCAACCCTCCCTAATTTGGTTGCATTGTATTTAATTGGAGAGGAATATATAAAAATCATCACCCAGCGAGACGAGATCGCGATTCTGTGCGATGAGGACAATCATGAATTAGCCCTTCTCAAGAAACAAAAATCTAAAAAGGATACCGTTGGAAAACGTATTGATAATTGTAGAAGGAATATGCGTATAATCTGCTTCGTCATTTGCATGGGTTGTTTTCTGGGCGTTTTCGTCATCGTGGTTTTGGTTTGCATGAAGACTCTTCGCAAACCAGGGGCTAAATGTAAGTACCAACAAAGCTGAATGATAGATATATGCAGTAATGGATGCTAGCTAGCTAGGGTTTCCTTTCAGCATTTCGTGGATTGTTTGTTTGGAATATCAAAATAAAGCTTATAATTAATGCTTTGTATGGTTTTAATTTTTCTTTCCGCACATTTGTGAAATTGGAAATTCCTACGTACCTACTCCATCATGTACAAGGA